GATTGGAAGGCATACAGCACAACCCTGCTTTTCTTTCCCTCTTTCTTTGTAACTCTCCACTCAACCCCATAATATTAAAAAATATAAGGCATCAAAAGTGTCAGCATTTTCGTACACCACACAATTTCCAATTTTTCTTATCTCCTCATTCTCACTCCAACCCAACCCACACTTGCCCATAAAATAATGCAAAATTCCCTTCGTGAATTTAGAACCAAAACAAGTGCTAAAATTAGCATCATTACCAACATCCACAATAATATATTCATTCATTTATCATATTTATAAAAATAAATAAATAAAAAGCAAAAAAATAGTAATAACACCGAAAAAAAAAAAAATAAGAAGGGAGAAATATAGTCATCTCCACTACTTGCACGATTCAACCTCCACTTTTTTCTTCCTTCTTTACTTTACTTTTCCAAACAAAGTCTTTAACTTGAAAAAAGAGAAACCAAAACCAAAGGAATCCTACACTATCTTTTTAGTTTCTTCTTTACGCAGCTCTTGGCGTACCTACCAATCAATCTTCTTGAAGAAAGAGTGCAGCCGCTTCGTTGACTTATGAGCAACTGTACTGTGCATTTCACGGCTTTGTTCTGAATCTCTACGATGGCTTCTTTACAGCAGCCTGATAGGGTGACGGACGGACTAGGATGATTCTAGAACCATTATCGCCGGTATATGTTCTGATACATTGAGAGTGTGATTGTGATCCCCTTCGTAGGTTACGATTATCATCATTGGATCGTCCGACGCCCGCTCCACATGTTTCCGTGCCGGACAGCCTCGTACGCTACTGCACTTGTAATAACCCCTGCGATTTCGAGTTGGAAGATTAACGTCAGAACTGAGTTACAGATATAAGAAATGGTGACTGAGTCAACTCAGTTGCCGATTCAGAGTTAAAGAACACAAAAAAGGGAGATAAAGTCAAAGAACCATTACTCCGTCCCCCCACCTAGACTATGACAATTGAAACTGAATTTTGAAAATTGAAAATAGAGAGAGTTGAAAACAGAAAACAATTAATGCTACTTTGAATTATTTGTTTGGACTTTTGGGGGGTCTCCGTCAATTCGATAAAAACAAGAACATGTGAAGCGTTAAAGAAATAAAAAAAAAAAAAGTGATTTTGATTGATTGTGGAGTGAAAAAACACACCTTGGATGAGGGGAACCTTTGATGGGTTTCTGACCATATTTTCTCCAGGAATAATCGTCAGGAGGAATATCAGCCATCTTGCTGCTAATTGCAGGAACTCTAATCACTCTTTTTACTCTTAATTTCCTGCATAATTAATTCCATTGACAGATTAAGAAAGAAATTCAATTGGAATCAGGTTTAGGTAAAGTTTACAGAAATGGGTAGATTGAAATCTAACAAACCTTTTCTTGGAGCAATGGCATCGGCCAGGGGAGGATCCGCACTTGAGAGCGGCGTCGTCCATGGAAACACATTTTCTCTTTAACAAGGAAGACAGGGGAGGCTTGCCGGAGGATGGAACATGTGATGGACTGGTGAACGGGAATCCGGAGGAGAAGGATGGTTGTATGCTGTCGGTGTCCCCTGCTAGTGAAGACATGAAAGAATTTGCGGCGGAAATGGGTGAAGAAGTTGAGAAATTTATGGTTGTTGGTGTGTCGGTTCTTTCCGCAGGGCCACTCTTGGTCGTCTTGCTCTGATGGTGATTGTGAGGAAGAGGAGGGAGACGATGAACTGGGGTGGGGCAATAGACCCTGAAAGCAGAAACCAGATCTTTCTGCTGGGGATTGGGGGCCTGAACTGAAGGTCCTGGTTTTTGAATCTTCTGCTCCGGCTGCTCTGGCGGTGAACACATCGGGGCCCTTCTAAACCGTGCATGTCCAGTTCTCGGTCGACCCAGTAAAGAAATCATTTTTTTGAAATGATTGACGGCAACATCGGCGACGGCGTTGATTTCCACGGCGGGTTCCTTATTTCTGAAGGAGGCATCCACGTTCAAATCCTTCGGTTGAGTTTCCGAGATCAATCTTAACAGCTCCTGGACTCCTTCAATCCCAGCAGTCGCAGCATCTCTAACAGCACTCTCCTCCATCTTGGCTGAAAAACTACCACCGTTATAACCCATCAACTTCACCGCCATCTCTCAACCACCATCCACGGAAACCCCCCCGATCTTGTCTTTAATTCTTACTCGGAACAAATAAATTTATATACACATCCAAAAGGCTAAGAATTGGAAATGAATTGAATTGAAATAAATGGGAGAAAAGCAAAAGTAAAAGATAGATGATAAGAAAAGGAAAGAGAGAAGGATTAGAGTCAAAGAGGTGCCCTCACAAGGCAATAAGGCATCGGTTCGGGGGCCATATTGCCGTCAAACTTAACTGCGAATGGGATCACTCCATGTGGCATATTTTCGTCAGTATGTTGACCAGTCCCATCTTTAAAAGTGGGGGCCAAGAGGTTGGAGACCGTGAGAAATGATGGAGTGGTACAAGGTCAAAAGTGATTAACCGTTGGATTTTTCGCCTTCGGTAAAATCGGGGAAAGAGGGGTTGTGTAGTTGGAGACAGTGAGGTAGAGTTGACTTTAGCGACTTTTAATGCAAAGAAAAAAATAAAAATAAAAGTCGTTGGTGGGACCTGATGAGGTTCCGCTTTTACCCGACACCCGAAGCTGCGTCAAAGCCTCTCCCTGCAAGTTACTTGGGATTCTTTCTTTACAGAGAGAACTACTTTTTTT